TCTTCCAAAGTTACTGAGCACGGCAGACAATGAGAACCAAGTACACTGCCAGCTCTCAAAATCTAGGATCCTTGTGCCACCGCACCTTCCTGACATCAAAACGGATAGCGCAATTGGAACTGTACCCATTCTCAATCCTATCTCTTCAGCAGCATGCTAACCTAAACAAAAGAAACCCCCCCACAAGATATAATTAGATTTTTGCCTCCTAAAATCCAATTCAGACCTCCACTATGTTCAATAGCTATATTTATTAACTTCTTTCCTTCAGCAAAAAGCAAAAAGGAGTGTTGAAATACCATGCTTGGGACCTGCTGGAAGAAGAATGCTTGAAATAGTAAAATCAGATACCTTTGGAGCTGGCTGTACCACGTTCCCTGGCGTACTAAGAAACACTACAACTAAACTAAACTATTTTTTGATCAGTTAGAAAGATAAAATATTCTGTTCGAAGTGAGAGACAAGAGACTCCTCTGGATGCCATAACATTAAAACAACTTCCTATTCTATCAGTTCAGTGTTCCAGAAAAGTTGTGTCTACACAAAATGCTGTGACAAGAACATGCATGCTGTACCTAGTCCATGATACTCCCCCAACCACTGCTTGTGATACTCCCCAAACCACTGCTTGTGATACTCCTCCCCTAAAGGCAATCTCTATATAGCTATGGAACAGACCAGACCTAACTAGATTTCTAGGTGAAAAGAGGCACAATTACCCATCCACCTTAAATCAACATTTCAAACAGCAGGGGGTTAGGGGAGAGTCTAAAACAGAGTTGGTTTTAAGAAGTTAAACTAGCAGAACATCAACTCCCCAATTAAAAAGCAGTAACTCTGATCCTCTGCATCCACTCTTTGTTCCAGGAAAGCGACATTCTTTGAATTTTCATGCCTGTTAATTTGCAACCAGAAATGGTAAATCAAGAATTCTATTTAATAATAAGGGAGAAAGATCTGCTTTATAAGGAATTTTCCACAGCATGCTTATCTGATGGAGAAAAATGTTTTGGCCTTCAAGAGCCACGGGTCCTGTATCTTGTCACATCAGTAACTAGTTCTTATGACTTGTCCAAAAGGCAACACTCTGGGCTTACAGCCCATTTAATTTCTGATAAGACCTGGATTCTCTAAGTAACCCAAATAAAACGCAAAAATGCATTTTAAGCAAAAATGAAAATAGTTGTACATTTTTTATGCAAACGGTACTCAAAGAATGGTTCTACAGAGACTGATGGGTGACTGGTGCAGGTGTCACAATGGTTACTTACAGCTTTAAGGATAAATGCTATTATTGCTGATGGAGAACAGAAGTGACCGTTCTTCATGAATGTGTTGCACATTCCCATACAGTATCCCATTCCTTTTTCCCAACAGACATTCTAAACAGTAAAAGAAGCATTTTAATCTAGACCATGCATTTGACAGAGACTTAGAGAAGTCTTAATTCAGAAGTTTACCATCACATTTCCTACATCAAAAGAATTCTAAATATTAGTTTTACAACTCCTTCTGGAATCTGCTTCCGTCTGAAAGACTTCCAAGTTGCACAAAGACAAGACACAACATCCTGTAACTGAACGCTTCAGAACTTCATACCTGCCGTTTTTCATCACAAGAGAGGCCTTTTTCTGCCAACTGCCTCCCCTTAAACTTGTTTACTCTTTTAGCATCAGTTCTGAAATAGTATTGACAATCTTTTGGTCAAAGACTGAAGTTTAAGAGGCAACCTCTACGTAAAGGCCTACACACAGCACAGCTGTTAGCTGTTTGATGTCAGGAGCTCTTCCGCCCCTGTAAGCATAAGCCACGAGTGTTGTATGTGCCAATTTCTGAGTTGCCAGTGAGAGGGAAAACAAAAGGGTTCAGAGAATTCACTGACAGCTGACCAGGTGTTGGCCACCAACTAAAACCCTTTCTTCCACAAGGCTCATCCTGAACACAGCCTCCTACTCCAGCAGAAACGCAACAACTTTTCCACACTTTCACAGGGCTCTACATTTCACTTCCACCACATTTCTTAACAGAGAAGATGAGATTTTTCTGAAGACTAGCTGCAATCAATGCCCAAGACTAAACTTGTACAGGCAAAGTTGAAAACAGTAAGAACAGAGTTGACCTCTAAGTGGAGGTAAGTTTAGAAAGAAAAGAACCTGGGAAAGATCACATCAAAATAATTTCATCCTGCTCCATACAGAATACAGTAATTATTTTTATCTTATTCAAAACCTGGTTCCGAATGGAGTAGTTCTGAATCCAGAACCACTTACTGACAGGAAATCAACCAACCAACCTACACCCCCTACAACCACATTAACTGTAGTTTACATGGAGATAAAAATGCCTTTTTCCGTAATTTAAGAGCACTCTGGATGAGAAATTTAAGATCTATCGTACCCAAACTAACATCCCCACATTTTCAATTTCTAAATTTCTCTCCTCAGCTATAAGATTTTCACCTCAGCTTCCCCAAACGCACATCAAGGTTGCTCAACTTCAATAATGAAACTAAAGTTGTCATTTCATTTCCTGATTTTCCTATCCTTGCACAACGCAGAGACAACCAACATAATACATTTTAACATAAAGATTTATCTTTTTCTTGACTTTGTCAAAACCCATCTCCCCTCCAAACCATATAGGTTTGAGCCACACGCAAGAGCCACTTGGTACTATTCTTTAAAACCTGAATTTTCAAAGACAGCAAATGCTCCCGAAACGAAGTATGAGTAAGAAAACGAGTAAAGGAACGTGTTCTTAAAGGAGCATTTAAGATACAAAGAAAACCAGTAGAAAGAGTTTTTAAATGCATCCGAGCTCCACTCCCTGCAGCAGCGTATTTACTAGTAACTACACACCTGCACAAGTGAACTCACCTGCGACTTCCAGAATTAAAGCAGATGTTAATTTTGAAAGTTTCTGATTTTTAGTAGGCATAATAGAAACAGCAAAACCACATTTCATTCTCTTAGCATTGTTAAAAATTGTAATGATCTGCTGACTTGCGAAAAAACTCCCCTCTGAAAAATCCCCAAGGGCTTCTTCCCAAGTGCCACATTGAGAGCAGATGGCCAGCCTCACGTCTGCAATTATCAGCCTGGCCCGGCAGTCTCACAGATCACAGCCATACTCTTTTTCTTTTTGTGTATGTGGGGAGGGGACAGCTCAAGAGCTGCAGACAACTAGGTATCACAGGCAACAGCACTTGCCACTAGAAACGTACATAATACATTCAATTGCCAAACCTGTCACGTGCTCCTTCCATTAACTTCCGTTTTACATTTACGTTTCCCTCCTTTTTTCTTTAACGTTTTCTTTCCTGCTACTGAGGAGAATTCAAACAAGGTGACAGGAAATCAGGAACATTAAGGATACAGTAGAACTGACCACTGCCAGTCACTGCCAGAGGCACAAACTTCATGAACTATCTGTTGTTGCAATTATTCCCTCTTTATTTTACTTGGAAAAATTAAGCAGCTCGTAGCAATGCTCTAATAAAAGCATGCAAACGGACAGAGTTATCAGTTAACAGGTAACAAAGGCACCTCTAACTTGTGATTGTGTCCGTGTGCTATCCTTCCCCCCCCAGCCCCCAAGACCAGTTGTTCTGTTCTCCCCTTTAGCCAGGAGGATGCCTGATGAGGAGGTGCTATTTCATTTCCTCTCCTTCCTCCCAACCCCTCAAATGGGGAAGCCCTCAAAGCAGGGGGAAGGGAGAGCGTGTTTTTAATTCAAATGCTGCATCGTAAAATACTATTGTGCAACGCTTGGGCGAGTCTGATTGTAAATCTCTCTCTCTATATATACACATACATACACACACGAGTGCTTTATTCCCCCTACATCTCTTGGAGAAAGAAAGAAAAAGCAATAAGGCTTCTGTATAATAACCATTTACTATTTCAGCTTTACACCCAAGAATTTGAGTATTTGACGAAAATCTTTATTTTGCCAACGCCAATAAAGGTTTAGAAATAAAAGCAAGCTATGAAGTCTCTCCTACGGAGTTACTTTACAACTGACAGATCCAACAGGAAGGGGTGGAAAGATTTCCTCATGTGCAAAGAGGCCTGACAGACTTAACTCTGAGGCATTCCATCCTCTCCTCAGGAATCCTGAGCCCTCCTATAGACTTTTGTCGCTTACACCGATTCAGCATTCCTTGCTTCACTTCCACTAATTCTTCTTGTCCTTCCTCATTTCAGCTACCCCTTCTGAAAAAATTTACCAGGCACAGAAAGGTGCTGGAGAACAGGGTATCAGAGTCCCACTGTTGTTTCCCTAGTCTTGAAAAATCTTACTGGGAAATAAGGATGTGCAAGAAGAAAACCTCAAGCCTTATTACTGCCTAGTCTCTCATTCAGGCTTAATTCCAGTGGCACGTTCCATAGGGAGGGTGCTAATGTTATAGAGATGCTGCTACCTTAGAGGCTGAATCCCTCCTTGATAAGATCAGCTTTGAGTAATCATAATTTATTCCAAACCAAGTTTTAACGACCTTTAGATACTCTTGATTTTCCTTAAAGGTCTTTGATTACGTGTCAAATGCCGTGCAATAAAATGTAAACACATTTCCCACCAGAAGAAAGAAATGAGAAGACAACACGCCCCAGTGAGTAAGCTTTCTCTGCTGACACACACTATAAATACCAAAAAGCACTGCCCTCTCATCAACTTCTCCAAAAGTTTTTCTGCCTTGACCAATTGTTTAATCAAGTGCTGTACTACAGGATAACACTCCTCCATACAAATCCGGCACTTCTCGTAACTGCAGTTATCAAAAGGTCTAACACAAGTGCCGGCTTTGTGGCAGAGATGCAAGTTAATGCACACAACTCATGCAGAATTAAATTAA